CTTGGTGGTACGGGGATTCGAACTCGCGACCCTCAGATTACGTGTCGTGCACCCTAACCACCTGGCCATGCCGGGCCCTTTATAATTAATAGTTATATGATAAAACTATTTTAAACGCATCTCCTCTTTAATAGGATTGAACTCCATTAATATAAATTTCCAGCTAGAAAAACAAACAAACTATACACGATGAAGAAAGAAAGACAATTTCAACTAAAATCTTGCATTTGGAAGGTAAAAATAAACAATTAGTATTTAAATAAATTGTTTTGCAATGTGGGTTAGAGTTACAAGTTAATTCATACAAGTTTTTATACAATTTGCAAACAAATACTAATATATAATATTGTTTACAGTAGTTGTCTGACAGAATGTATAGCTAGATCTGATTAATAACTATCATATTTTTCATGCAGAAGTCAAAAATTAGTTTATTAGCTTACCGCCAGGTGTCCCAGAGTGTACTATTTGTCTCCTTAAAAGGTTAGCATTATAAGAAAAATATTTATTTTGTTTGTACGCACATAAATCATTACTTAATCTTAAGTTTTTACCACTTTAAGGGCTATAAAACTTTAAAATATTCACTAGCCTAAGTTTTACAATAATTATCTTAAGTAATAAAAATGTTCAAAATTATACTTTAGCTGTTGGTGAGCATAATATTCGACACGAGACACTATTTGTCAAAAACTCATAAATTTTTATGTTACTGGGAGACAAGGTCAGTGCTGCGTTTGATGTTTCGTTTCATTAACTACAAACCCAAAATGTTCACAAATGGATAAACTATTAAATGCTAGGAAATTACAGATATAGTAACCAAATTATAATAAAACACGGGAATAAGAATACTGGTCTCATTACCTCTCAACATAACTTGGAAAAATACTAGTTTCGTAGACATTATATGTGAATTAGAATCTTTTTCAACAGAACTACAATACCAGAATTTTAACTGCGATGTCATCGTTAACTAAAAAAGTAATTGTAAAACAAATGTGTGACATTTCTGTTAAAGCTTCCTGGAAACCATAAGACTATTATTAATGTGAAACCTTGCTAAGTACATAAAACAGAAAGTTAGGGTAAAACATTTGAAAACATGTTTTCTTATCTCTGGCTAAGAGTTAAAAATAAAAACGTTTTATATAAACCTTAATTTTTCTAACATTTTAAACCTTCAGAAATGGCGCAAAACAGATTTACGTAAGTCCTGATTTATCAAATGTCTATACCCCCCCCCCCGGTGGGACAGCGGTAAGATTCGGGGTTCGAAATGTCTGCAACAGAAACAACGATTAAATGTTTAACAAATTTAGTCTACCATGTTTTGAGAAACACAATTTAGTATAATATTTGACGGTAGCAGTTCTTTCCATTCAAGACTTACCTGGTTTGGTTGTTAAGTGCAAACCTACACAATGGTCTATCTGTGCTATGCCCACCACGAGTATCAAAACCCGATTTTTTAGTGTTATAAGCCCTCAGCCTTGCCGCTGACCCAGTGAGGGGAACTTCTGGTCAAGAAAGATAATAAAAACAACGCAAACAAGTTTTTCTTTTATGTACGTCACCGTCTACAAACGTGGGAATAAGTACAAAACAAACATTGAATGAAATCAACTTATTCATATTTAATTGGATATAAAATTACAAATATATTTAGGTGGTGCCAAATCGAATCACTTACATACTGTTTCCTAGCTGGATACGTCTTTTTCTTCAACTGAGACTCGTATATGCGAACGCTATTTGAAGATCAAACAACAAGGTTTAAAACTTGTAAGTATATCTAGAAAGATGGAATGTATGTGGCTCTAATTACTTAGTGTAAAATTATTTTTTACTGTTACGTGAAGTGTACTTGTAACACTAAACATCATGTCTCAAGCTATTTTCGGTTTTAGTAATTCTGCTCTGTCAGTGTTATTGACTGCGTAAAGAAAAGTGTTTGCTTCACCCGAGAAAGCACGGCATTATAACGCCTATGTAATATAAATTTACCGTTCTGTCAGTAAATTCACGAAATACAGTTAATAAACCAGGTCAGTATAAAAATTGTCAGTTTCAAACCACAGATTATGTGCAAAAATATTAAAAGCAAGTTAACAACAACAAAAAAATAATATTTTCAAACCATATAAACAGGGCTGGTACGAAATATGGGTATAAACATGTAAGAGGACCATGAAACATTTGGTAGTTGTACAGGTATATAAAAACATTTGCGGAACAAATGTATGGAAAAAGGACATAGGTGGTGTTGCAAGGTGTCTTTCAAACACAGTACATTTTGCTTTATCTTAAGATTACATTAGCATCAACGAAAGCCACATTTAATGTTCAATATTCCCACCACCCCTTTAAACACCAGACCCCCAACTAAGTAGAACGTGACACACGCCACGACGGAACATATCCTCTCAGTGTACGTGCATCACGTAATGTTGAATATGATTTTGTGCCACTAGACCCCAACTAAGTAGAACGTGACACACGCCACGACGGAACATATCCTCTCAGTGTACGTGCATCACGTAATGTTGAATATGATTTTGTGTTCAAGTATTTGATGGATATTTGTAACAGTCCTACTAACTGATGTATGAATGGCTCTAACATCAAACTCATACCTTTAATTGCAATCCTCATTGACGTCATGTAACAAGCATATACTGTTTTAAGGTTACTTTGTTTCACCGCTTATATTTGTTTACGTCAATATACTCTGTACAACTTTAAGTTTTGTTGGTTCTACCGTTATCAATACGTTGATGTCACAAGCGTATCTCGTATCAGCTCTCTGCTGTTTAACGATGCTTCACAATGAAATGGTTAAAACAAGCTGTTTTGTTTTACGTGGAAAGACACTAATTACCTTAACGTTGATTGTAGTATACTTATGTTAAATCTGTGATAAAGCTTAATGCGTCTCGTAAAGTAACAAGCATAACAGAGACAGTAATGTTATTTGTCTGAAAGTTGTAACACAGGTGTTACGCCATAGTACTTATATGGTAAAACAAACAGTACCGTACAGATAGGGTTAAATAATGTCCAGTGAAAATGAGTTCAATTAAAGTTTGGGACAGGTGTGGCCTAATGGTTATCGCGTCTTTGGTTTACGTCGTTTTATTTCCACAAACTCGCACTGTTCACTTTGGTGCTTAATAAGAATGACAGTTAATTTCCTGTTGTATAACTTTAAACGAATTTCCAAACCAAACAAATTAAATCTGACTACTTTACTCAGCTGGAAATCATATGATATTCAACTATTGATTTGTTTTTAGCGTATTGAAGAATTGCTTAAACTGAATCCCGGTAAGGGCGAAGAAGCCTTTCTCTTGCCTGAAAAGTTCTTAAAATTTTTGAACAACGTCACTTTATATAGTTATTGCTAAAAAACCTGAAACTGGAAATTTGCTAGAAATGTGCACATCTGTAAGTCAGATAATCGTGTACTGTCAAGTCTCATAAGTTGCGGAACTCATAGCATTTTAATCGGTATAAACAGATAAAATATATCAATAATTTCAAAACTTTAAAGATAACGCTGAAGTTTCTAAGTAAATATATAATTATTAAATGAGGCTTCTCATTTCCTATATATATCTATTTACATATTTGGTCAGAGTTTCTGATGTATTTATATTAAGCTAGATTTATTTATCCAAAGATGATTTTGGTTCTCAACGCGATATAATTTTTGACCTAAAAATATTTAATACCTATGAGAACACTTACAAGCATTCTTGGCGACAACCAACTTCACAGTTTCTTTTGACCGAAGAAATAATGGTCTTTATACAGCTGTCTGTAAGGGAAAAGTTATAATTTAAAGTCTGTTTTGCTGCTCCTGAACACGATTTGTACAAACAAAGAAGTTAAATATTTTGAACCATGAGTAACATGTCTTATGAAGGGCTTTAAAAATGTAATTTAGTCAGTTAAGTTTATCATTTAAATTAGATTTTAAATATTTATATTTCTAAATATCCAAATATTTTATAGGTTAAGTTATTTTATAAGTTTATGGGTAGGCCACAGCACCGAAACTCACCCTTACTATCAAAAGTTTCAAAATGTATAACAAATTTGTATTCAATGCGAGTGTTTGTTTAATCGGTTTGGAATTTTGTGTATTTTCTCTTTAAATAACTTGTCACAGAGAAAGTTATGCACGTATTACTATTCATTCTTTTATATTGAAAAACCGGAATAGGCGGATCAGTCATAAAAATATTTATTTAAAATCTCAGCTTTGTGACACAAATTGGTGTCAAGACTGAAAGCTAAAACTGAATAATTTTCATAAAAGCGTTCTGCTTCGCCTTCGAATACTTTTAACGCTTTTCCAAAAATATGAAACAGTTAAACTGTCTTTTCAACATTAACACTTTTAAAGCTGCCTTTTCTCTATTAACACTTATGGCTAACATTTTATTAACTCAAAGTAAGTGAAACATTTAAACAATAACGATATTACAATTGTAATTTTGATAATTCTAGTAACTGGATTATTTTTTGCTTTTACCAACTATGAAATGTCGATGTTGAAATGCACGTAGCGCTGTTCTACTTTTATTTCTACACTTGTATATCTGTCTTTGTCAACCATAAATTATGACTACCATCTTCATAATTTTGAAATCATGTAATATAAATACATTGAACTGAAAAATGTTCTTATCAGATATATTCAATTTGTTCTCTGGTTCCAGACATGATGTATCATCATTAAACAGTTTCAACTAATGGTTCTTTCAATGCTTCTATACAAACTTTGTATAATTATTTACCAGTTCCTGATACTAATTATAAATCGAAACATATATGTTAGAAGTTGGGTAACAGAGAATGGAAAATTCAAAGAAGAAAGACCCCCTCCCTCCCAGTGGCACAGCGGAAGGTCTGACGACTTATAACGCTAAAAACCAGGTTTCGATACCCGTGGTGGGCATAACACAGATAACCCATTGTGTAACTTTGTGCTTAATTAGAAACAAACAAACAAGCAAGCAAGGAAAAGGTTAGACGAGAAGTTGGATTAGCTAAATGTATAAAATGTAATAAAGAAACACTTTATGGAGAATGATAACATTAAGACAAGGAAAAGGATGTTACACATACTCAGTTTTTATGCACGGACAGTAACAAAGGAAGTGACCAAAGAAATAAATACTTTTGAAATGTGAAGTTATCATAAAATGTCGAAAATTAGTTGGAAAAGCGGAACAACAAATGAGGTTTGATGGCTCTGGCCCAGACTGTTGTCAGGAGTTACATATCTTGGCAGTGCCTAGTGAAGAGATGTTTCTTAACATTATTGAAATCAAGCTTGATGGAACGAAATTAAGAGGAAGAAAGAGAAAATGTGTATGGATGTTATCAAGGATTGGGCTACCTTAGCCGGATATGAGAAGATCAAGATTCAAGGATTGGGCTACCTTAGCTGGTTATGAGAAGATCAAGATTCAAGGATTGGGCTACCTTAGCCGGATATGAGAATATCAAGATTCAAGGATTGGACTACCTTAGCTGGTTATGAGAATATCAAGATTCGAGGATTGGGCTACCTTAGCCGGTTATGAGAAGATCAAGATTCAAGGATTGGGCTACCTTAGCCGGATATGAGAAGATCAAGATTCAAGCATTGGGCTACCTTAGCTGGTTATGAGAAGATCAAGATTCAAGGATTGGTCTCCCTTAGTTAGTTATGAGACGATCAAGATTCAAGGATTGGGCTCCCTTAGCCGGCTATGAGAAGATCAAGATTCAAGGATTGGGCTACCTTAGCTAGTTATGAGAAGATCAAGATTCAAGGATTGGGCTACCTTAGCCGGATATGAGAAGATCAAGATTCAAGGATTGGTCTCCCTTAG